AGCTGAACTTGGAGAGCGAGGCGTTGGCGTTGGCCACCTCCTCCTCGAGCGGGCGGTGCGGGCAGGCGCGGCGGCAGCCGGCGCAGGTGGCCAGGAAGGCTTTGCGGAAGCGGCGGTTCATGAAGCAGTAGATGAGGGGATTGGCGCAGGCGGAGGTATAGGAGAGGAGGTGGATGAAGGAGATGGGCGTCCCTGAGAGCGCCCGCTGGGCCGCCCGTGGGGCGAAGGCGCGCCACGTGTTGGCGGTGAAGATGGGTAGCCAGCAGAGGAAGAACATGGCCACGATGACCACCAGCATGCGGATCACGCGCCTCTTGGCCACCAGCTTCGCCTCTGAGCTGTTGATGCGCGCCCGGTCCTGCTGTGCACCCGCCGCGCCCAGCGCCCGCAGCTCCAGTGCGCCACCCGGCCGGGAGAGCTGCAGGTAGCAGCCGTCCCCCTCGTCACAGGCGAGCACCGGCTCCCCACTGCCGTTGCGCTGAGCTGTGGGGCGGAGAGGATGTGGTCACAGCCGTGGCGCCGTGGGGACCCACGCCACCCCGAGGCCACGAGCGCATCGTCTGCTGGGACGCAGCGGGGTGTTGGGACGGGACACGGCACAGGGCCCTGCACAGGGCGGTGTTCCCGGGGAACCCCCCAGCTGCGAGGACCCAGGGTGGGGGCTCAGCCCTCCCCCATGTCCCGGGGCCGGGGGTTCTGCCCGCACAGGGGTCATGCTGCAGGAGGGGAGGGCAGGGCCGAGCGGTGCTGCCAGCCCTGCTCCGTGCCAGCCCAGCCCCTCACCTGCAGCCTCCCCCTTGATGTCCAGCTCGAAGCGGATGCCTCGGTAGAGTTCGCGGGAGATGAGCCCGTAAGCCACGATCATCACCACGCCCGGGATGAAGAAGAGGACGAGGAGCAGCAGGACGTACCTGGAAGAGGCGGTGCCCGTCGCTCAGTGGCCCCTGGGTCCTGTCGCCACTGTGTTTGCGGTCACAACACCCATGGTCTGGTCCCTTCATCCACTGCCTGTGGAGAGCTGCCTGTGGGTGCTGGAGGGTTATGTCTGTGCGTGTTCCCTGTTCTGTGTGTGTGTGCATGTGCGTGTACACGTGTACATACGTGCGTGTGTGCAGGTGTTTGGTGCAGCTCTTTGTGTGCATGAACGTGCTCGTGCGGGTGCAGGTGTGTGCGTGTGCACCGGTGCGTGTGCAGGTGTGCGCTGTGGCTCTGTACCCGGGTGTGAACGTGTACGGTTGTGCAAACCTGCCCAGCTGTATGTGTTTGCTTGTGCGCACGTGGGTGCTGCTGTGTGTGCCCGCGTGTGCCCAAGTGCGGGTGCGATCTGTGCGTGCGTGTCTCCGTGCAGGTGTGGGTGTCTCCCCTGGGGATGGTATGTGCAGAGCTGTGCCACGCCCGTGCCATGCCACACTGTCCCGGTACCATCCCAGTGCCGTGCTGGTGTGGAGCCCCGTGGGGCTGTCCCGGACAGGGCTGTCCGCAGCCCTGGGCACGGACCAACCCCTCCCGCAGGCAGTGCTGGCCACTGCCCCGGGGGGCCAGGGATGCCCGCAGCAGAGGAGCAAGGCCCCGTGGCCCCCCGAGCAGTGTGATCCCCCCGCCCCGCCCGGCTCTG